CCCGACTATTTCATGTCAAAATGGCTGCTGTCAAAAAGGTCTAATGGCATCAGCTTCTCACACACACACACACACACACGGACACACATACTGCAATATACAGTCAGTCTTTGATAAATATAAAACAAAACCAGAATAATTAGTCAGTTGTTGGAGGCCTGTCAATGCCGGAGCTTCCTGTCTGAGCCCCCTGCGGCGACTGAGAAGGACAGCAGGGGTGAGTCCGGGGCCCCTGTTGGCCCATGCCCATGCCTGAGGACAGAAGACGAATCACTTCTGCCTCCATGATGCAGGCTTTTATCACAGAGATGAAAAAGACCCACAACTGAAGCTCAACCGCGAGCAGCAGCAGGCAGGGAGAGGTCCTCTTTATATATAAAGACCACAGCTCTGCTCCTCTTTCTCTTCCTCCAAGTTGGTTTAACGCTGCAGCTAAACAGCTAAAGTCAGAGAGAGGACATCGACTAAGGCATTGCAGGGGAGTCTCAACTAACTGGAGTCTCATGTGAGAGGAGTGCTAGAGGACCAGACAAAAAGAAAAGTGAAAGACGGTGAAAGAGGAAGCGAGCCCAGCGGCTTGCCTGATTTATTGATAGACTCGCATTTGGCATCCAGAGACTTCCTCTAAGACAGGATGCCAGTTTAGCAAGCAAACGCTTTTTGTGGTGTAAGATTTAACACAGGAACTAAAATTAGGAGGTTTTGGGACTAAAAATAGGTGATGTCTGGGACTGACGGCCTTTTCAGTGTGTCACAGCCTGGCTATATACACAGAATTCGATACGTAGATTGTACTGTTACTGCAGCTGAGTACTAATGTGGAAATCTAGTCTGGCTGTCGGGAGAAAAAAAGAAGGAAAAAGATTTTGTTGAAAAAGCTGAAAAGCGAGTCAGAGATGCAATTCTGGAAAAAATGGATGGAACTTTGACGGTTTCCCTCTTGTCTCAAACCATCACATTCCTCCAAAGAAGAAGCCTTTTTCATGAACATTGGATATTTCTGCCATAATTTTTCCAATTAGCAGAAGAGGTTCATAGTATGATGATTCTTTTTTGAAATACTTTACCTTGAAGCCTTAAGAAATGTGAGGCAGAACAGTTATGTAGCTGACCATTGTGAATAACCACAGACTAAACACTAAAGTACTTACTATTAGGTGATATTAGTGAGTAACTGGTTTAAAGGTTAGAGTTGTGAAGGCTCCTTGTTCAGCTCTAAGGGTTCACAGACTGATCTGTAAACCCTTGTCCTTCTCCACACTGCCGCCTGACAGGAATACCAATGCAAAGGTATAAATACAGCCTCCTGACTGATAGCACTATCTCAATACATGTATTTATTAATGTATTTTTTATTAGCCCTGTATCAGATATCAGGAACTATTAAATCATCAAAACATAATTACCAATGTCCAGTGGAGATAAATGGAGGAGATGCTCAAATTGATTCGTTTCCAGTCATTTTGAAGATTTATTATAAAACCTAAAGACCCTAGTCCTGAATCTATAAAACATTGTCCTAAATATATGGACCTTTGTCCTTAACCATTGGTCAATTGTTCTCAATCTTGACTTTATAGACGCTCATCTGGAATCTAGACCCTCATCATTGGTCTGTAGACCTTCATTTTTAATCCATAGACCCTGGTCCAAAATCTAGAGACCCTCATGTTATATCTGTGGGCCGTCTTCTTCTACAGATCCCAGTGCTAAATCTATTGGCCCTCTTTCTTAATTCATGGACTTTAGTCCTAAAAGCATAGACTCTCAAAATCTAATGTAGAATCTAGACCCTCGTGTGGAATCTGTAAACTTTGCTTTAGTCTATAAACAATATCTCTTATTTTGAGTTTGTAGACCCTCATCTTTAACCTATAGACTTGTGTGTGGAAACTTCAGACCCTCATTTGCAATCTATAAACTGTAAACTATACACCCTCATGCTGAATCCATCGAGCTCTGTTCTTAATTTGCAGACCCTCGTCCGAATGTCGACCTTCATTGGGTATCTACAGACGTTCGTCTTTAATCTATAAATTCTTGTATTGAATCTAGTGATCCTCGTCTGTAATCTATAGACCACCATTGTCTTTGATCAACTGACTCCTGACCTGAATCTATAAACCTTTTGCCTGCTGAATGTGTAGACCATTAGTCTATAAGCTATAGACCATCATTCAGACACTATATACTCTCATCCTAAATCTGTAGACGTTTGTTTTATATCTATAAACCTTGTTCTGAATATATAGACCCTTGTCCTAACTCTATAAAACATTGACCTGAGCTGCTAAGCCTTCAGTCAGTCATCATATCGGAACATGTTTCAGTGCTTCAAAAGTTAAACTTGTCCAAAATGCTAATTTATCCCTTTTCTTTTTGATTAAATGGAAGTATATTGTATCAGGCAAAATGATAATGGTTGTGTGTGACATACACTAGAGTCACACTATATTCAGTGGATTTTCTGCATTTAAACATCCATAATGAATAAGAAATATAGTGTGCTAATCAATATTTTTAAAGACTTTAAACCTTAAATTCCAGAAAATGTGTTCAGAAGGACTCTATGGCTCTGTGAATAATAGTTCATAAAGGATATGGAATACGCATGACATGAAATTGAGGTTAAGTGGGAACCCTGGCCGGTTCTTGAGTCGGAGGTTGCGTTGCTGGCTTGTGGCCTTGTGATGAAGATTAGAGCAGATTTAGATCATGGCCTGCAGAGTAGATGGAGCCAGGTACAGTACGTTAAGAGCAGTCAGCTGACGGACAAACCTACTGCTATATGTGTGTGTAATGGCTGCCATCTCTATGGCAACTCAGGAGTATGCAACGTGTGGCCAAAATACATGAACAGTAACTTACTAGAAACCATTTGCCGTCTTTCTGTTATTCCTATCCGTCAGGTTTGTGAGTTCCAACAGAGAAATCACGACTGCACCACTTATTGAAGAGGCGTACTGATGGCGTACTTTCATAAGGTGCCTGCAACATGAAAAAAAAAAAGTAGCAAAAGAAAAGTAAAGAAAAGAAGACACACACCTATAATATACAGACAGTGTCAATAAGGAGTCCCATCTACAGTTTATGTAAAAACTGACAGAATCGAATCCCCTTTGGATGTTGCAACTGCAGCGTAAATGATATCCTGAAAACTGTATAGTAGCAGTAACTTCTCAGAGAACCTGTCACATTCTTCCTCTAAAGGGATGAGATGTCTCCTTTGAGAGTAAGTGCCAGTCAGTGTGCTCGCTGACAGCTAAAACCACCTGAGTCTCTGGGCGCAGAGTTGCCATTCATGTTGGATTACATGGTGCAGCAAAGTGCAAGGGCTCCGTCTCAGCCCACGGATCCATGTTTGCAGACCACTGAAGCGTTGCCAAACAGACATGTCTTACAGGGAGCACTCTGAGACAATCAATCACAGGGCCCGAGTCTCCTGCAAGGCTGCCACCTGTCCCACTCAGAGGACACGCAAAGTACAGTACACGAAGCCACAGACGGGCCTAAACAATCTACAGCTGCCTCTCCCAGAATCCCAATTAGAAGCTCTGTTGAATAAGTTATGAGATAGTTGGTCCGTGTTGAGCTAAACTGGCATTACTGCAGAGTGAGCAAAGGGCTGAGACACGTGAAAATGTACAGTATAGATGGTTTAATTACGGCGCAGTAAGGAAGTAATAACCTGTTAATGTTTGCTGCGCTCATAAAATGCAGGAGAGTGATGTCAGTGTTATGTTAAAGTATGTGCTTTGAAATGAGAAGATATCTGATCTTGGCTACTGCCTGTAAAGTTTGGCCTCCCTGTCAGACAATTCTGCAAGCAAACAGTCAACAGCGGGTGGTTTGTTTTCTTGGTAAACACATCTGGCTTGTAAATAGAGAGCTGCTGAAGCCATACAAGTGGCTGCTGAGGGCTCCTCAGTTACTCAAGACCCCCCCACACACACAAATTGAAAATGACATTTTTCTGTCACTAACAATGATGCATATCATTTAAGCATTTAAAGAGTCTCTATTTTTTATCATAGTTCCCCCAAACAGAGATGAGAGGGCATTTGAGGATTCATTGTAGGGGCACAATGACTCATTTTGGGATTTAATAAAAGAACTAATTTGGGTTCATTGTGAAATCTATGGTAATAATATATTCTATCTAATCTATTGACAGCTGCATCTTACGTCATTTGTCAGCGGATGTTTGCTCGGTTTTGTCATGGAGATGACTCAGTTGTCATTATTGTGGAACTTCACTCTGCTTGATAATGCTCCTATATGGTTGGTACAGTATTAGGGCTGCAGCTAGCAATTAATCTGACAACCCTTTTCTTGGTTAATCAGTTTTGTTTTTTTTTTATTCATAAAATGTCAGTTTCTTCAGTTATTCACTGAAGAAACCAGAAAGTGATCACTTTTAGAGAGGCTGAAATCAGAGAATTTGGACATTTTGTTTCTTCAAAAGGGACTCAAAATGATTCATCAACTAATCATTGCAGCACGCACATCATTTTGTACACTGAATGTATAACTGAGCAAACACCATCCTCTAAGGAAGTCCATGAGATGTGGTTGAAAGCCCTTGACAAGTCTAGTAAATAGACTTAGAGTTAAAGATTATTTTGTCAAACATATAATTTGGAAGTGAATTTGTGGAATTTGAGGACATGGTTTTTTCTATATGGAAGCTACTATTCCTTATTGTCTTCTCCTTTTTTTAAATTTTTTCTGTCAGCTAGATTAAATAAAATACTCACGCCAGATCATGAACAGGTACCTGCCCAAGTTTACCAACCACAACCACAATTTACTGGCTTTTGGCTAGAGACTGATGTTGTCTTTGACATGGTGCCAGTGAAGAGAAAATAAAATATGGAGGCAGGGGAAATCATCATTTACCCATTGTTACAATTTGGGTTGTTTGTTGTTTCATGCCAAAATAATATTTTCTAATGGTTTTTTTTAATATTCTAATGTTTCTGCGTTCGTGTCTTCTGCAGCTCAAGATCTCTTTCAACGAGTCGAGCCTCAAGAGCACGTACGAGTATCCGTCAGAGAGCAGCGCGTGGGACAGCGGGGAGGAGGATGAGGAGGAGAAACGAGATGAGAAGGTGGCGGACGAACAGCCAAGCATGGTGGGACGCATCCACATCCCCCGACCCAGCTTCACCGGCTCGCCCACGCACACGACCAACAGCAACGGTGAGACGAAGGGAAACGTGGCGGGAGGGGAGAAACACGGTTCATTTTATGTTTGTGTGGGGAACACACAGGTTAGATGTCCAGCTCTGACCCCCCCACAAGCACTAAAATGTCTGTCCGACACTTTGGACGAGCTATTGGTCACATTGCTGTATTCATGGCCCCCAAAGGATGAGCCCTAATGATTTTGGTAGTTCAGAATGTCTCTTTAATGTCACTGTAGACATTCATGCTGCTCAGAGGATGAACTCCCATTAGCTTACCTCTTTAGGTGGTAATAAATACAAATCATGCAACTAAATGTATTTGTGTAGCACTTATGTAAAAGCAGAGCTAGCAGAAGGCTTTTCTGGGACACATAAGATGAACAAAAAAACAAAATAATTAAGTGAAATCAGACGACTGAGCCAGAGGAACAAAATAGAAAATGTTTTATGCAGAACCAAAATGTTAATAGAGAGCAGTGTAAACAGTAACTACTTAATGTCACATAAAGTGCACTTTATGGAGAAATTTGCAGCTAAACAGCATCATGTAGCACACTTAGATCTTATGTAGGACGTCATGGACATATTGTGTGTACAAGACATGTTAGGGAACACTTATTGGACTGTATCCGGTGGTGTTAATAAGGGAATCCTCCAGTTCTTGCTCTGAGGGATGAAGTGAAGATCTACTTTTCACTCTGCAGTTGAGCACTTCCCATGATGGGCCATTGACGACCGAATAAAAAGATTAGCGAGGCAGTGGAAGAGGAGGGAATGGCTCTGATTGTATTATTTCTAATCAGTTTACATATGACAGCCCATCCCTTAACACCTGCCCTTTGAAGTCACACAGGCTTTTGAGTTGATTTTGTGAGTCTAGTTTTGTGGTATTTTAAATGTCTTTATGTGTCCACTGGCCTTTTCATTGAGTCTCAGAGTTCACCCATGGTTCTTCTTTCCCACTTTGTGTTGGACAGTCATATAAAATGCAAATAAACTGCTGTTTCCACTTTTAAGGCTGATATTACTACCTTCATGTGCATTGTGCATGGTGTCAGTCTAACAGGGGAAGACAGCATTAAGTATGATGACAGAGACCCCTACTGGGCAAATTGTGAATTACATTTAACTAAATGCAGTGGACTAAATAGTTAGTTGAAAAATGATCTCATCAACTTGTATCTGTAAAAAGGAAAGGTACATGTACATTACCAATTATATAAATAAAATAGATTTAGGTTTAACAGTGGCAACAACACAGAGAGAAAGAAAATGTATTAACATGTATAACACATGATGTCTTTGTATTGTCCGCAGACCTTTCCAGCTACGTCCCCAAGCACTCGGTGGACTTCAGTGCCTGGCAGGAGCACAAACACGAGGACAGTGTTTACCAGGAGAACACCACTTCCCAACAGACACAGACGACAGAGGAAGTAATGGTGAGAGAGAACGCCACCATTCGTCAAACTTAAAGCTGTTTAAAGACAGTTTCTGTTGTAGAGTCGAGTATCAAGTGCCGTCTCCTCTCCACTGTCACCTACGAGTGGTGACCATCTTCTTGACCTGCAACTATTTAATGTTTGTCAGGAATAATTAAAAATGTTAAACTGAACAGCAATCATTCGTCCCCTTTAAATCTTAAATGTTAGCTGATGAATCCTGTCAGCACGTTGTATTTGGAAAAGGAAAATATGGTAGAAGACTTGAATTACAAGTATACAGGTTTAGTGATATATTGCCAAAAAACAACACCATAAAGGCAAAACACTGGACTTTGAACAATGGGAGGAAAACATGTCTGCTTTATGCTTTATTTGTTTTAAACATCTGAACCTTTTTGTGTTTTCTCCGCAGCTCACGCCGGCAGACAGCTCCTCCCTGTCTGACTACAGCAGCGAGCCCGCTCTTTACTTCTGATCAGTCGGACCAGTCAGCTGTACAGTAGCATCTCACCTGTGGGACCAGACTGCAGCCAGAGCCCCGAGCGTGGCTCCGTCACACCCGGGTCTCCAGCTCTAACACTCCAGCCGTCTCTAAGCACATCTTCCTGCTCAGACAGGAAACACAATGTTTTGTTATTTCTTTCTTTTTTGTTTTTTTGGGGCTGATTTCCTGCCACGGTACCACTGCACGCCAAGTTATCAACTGCATATCAGAGCAGAGCAGCTTTTTGTCAGGCGGCCAGTGATCCATTCCCACCTCCTTCCTGACCTGACGCAACAAATCCAAAAGCAGCTGGACTGTGTTTCCCCCTACGATCCCGGACAGTTGATCTGTCAGCCCCCCCCCCTCCTCTTCCTCGCTCCTCACCAACACAAATGTCTGACAGAATCAAATCCGTTGCGACGTCTGTCTTCCTCTCCAGACTCTGGAAGAAGTTCCCCTGCTTTCCTCCTGCGATTCTCCGCTTCAACATTTGCTTCAGGTTTTTTGGCGGATGTTGACAAGCGAAGGAGCCGAAAGCGAGTGACCTAACTTCTTAAAAAGAACAGGAAGCCGCCAGTGCCCACGTGTAGGTAACGCCATGGTGACGGAGTTCAGTGTTAGCGTGGAAACATGTCACGTAGGACATGGGAGGACGCATCCGCTTCTGTAGATCGCTGGCAAACACACAAAAACAAACAAAATGGTGAAAGGGTGCCACAATTGTAGTTTTTTTGTCCGTGTTTTTGTTTTGTTTTTGTACATGCATGTTTTGATTTCAGCCAACAGCTCGGTTGGTTCTCTGACTGTAAAGCTTCTGTATGCCTTTTTAGTTTTTGTATCTTTTCTGGCAAACTATGCTGTATTGAAGCTGCTGGACGTTTTGGTCGAAGAGTCTTAACGGCAAGCAAACTTCAACACAAACTCCCTCCTCTGCGACAAGGGAGGGGGAAATATGCACCCCAGGGAAGATTTCTGTCAATCAGCAGCAGCAAACTCTGATTTCTGATTGAACGCTTGAAAAAGTGACCTTGGCCAATAATGTCTGTATGTCCGTATTGCTGGTGACAAACAAAAATCATACTGTAGAATGTCTCTGTATATCCTCTTATCAAGGTATCTGTGTTATCAAAAGCTGTTAGACCTCCTGACACCTTTTTTTCTGGCTTCTCGTGTATTTATTCCTGCTTATAGTTGAAGTTTGCATGTCTGAGACCTGCTCATGTACAAAAGGACGTTTTTGTAAAGTCAAATTTGCCGGTTGCTGAAGGATGGTGCGAACAGCGCCACCGGACATTTCTTCTTCTTTGTTGTTGTTGTTTTTTTTTTTTCTCCAGTCGGACCTCATGTACTTTCACATTCCACAGAGGAAGAAGCCGGTCCATTGAAGTGATGAAGGCGACAACGATTATGATCACTCATAATGTGGCATGTTTGTGAGAGCGAATGCAAGATTGTGTGTTTGGAAGAATATGTAATTTTTTTGTTTGTTTTTAATTAAGATTGTTTTATATACAAGAATGCACCAAGTTTCCAGATGATTTTTTTAAACGCATAATGCCAACGGATTAAAGTGTTGCTGTAACGGCCTCACATTCATTCTTTACGCGCGCAGGATCGACCCCTCGGCCAGTATTGTTGTACAGTTCCCACCATATTTTCATAAGTACTAAGATGTATTTCTTACTCCTGTCATTCATTTTTCTAATTTCTCCCATCAGATGAAATTTGCTCAGTTGGATTTTGCTGTTAGGAGACGAGGCGTTTTGTCTTTGTCCAATGAATTTAGGAATAATCTGTTTTGTCTGGAGTCTTGGATGTTAAATGTGTTTGCACTGTCATGCTTTTAGCTTTTATTTGCACCTCGTGAGAAGGAGCGGAGTAGGCCACAGAGGAAATGTGCACTTATAAAGAACAAGAAGTCTAGTTGGAGAGTTTTGTTTCGAAACAGTATAGCCACTATAGACACCTGCTTTTATACAACCATTGATTGTATGTCTGATACAGTAGATGAGTAAGATTTTTGAGCCCTTGGTTGGCAGAATCAAATTTTTTAGACTGCAGGTATTGATTTTTTTTTATGATCAAAATGAATGAATAGCATTTTGGAATAGAACTCTTCAATTGTACATGATGAATGCACTGCCGATGAATGCCATGTCCACTTTTTGTACTGTTTGCCACAGCCTTGCATCAGAAGTCTTATGATTGTCGGCCTTGATGCTGTGACCACAAACTGTAGCCCAAGTGTAGTTTCCCCACACAGGTCCAGGGCTTCATCTTTGACCTCAAGTTACCTCAAAAAAACACCCCTCAAATCCTTCTTTGCAGCTGTTATCGGCCAGTTAACCCGATGTGTCAGCCTCTGACATACAGTAGCTTTAAAGGACCATACCAGTGATTTTGCGAGTTTTAGCCCATTTGGTACAAATCACATATACTTTGCATTACTGCTAACCTTTTGTCCAGACGTCCACTGGTTTCCACTCAATTTCATATGGCATGAAAATCTACTAGCAGACTCTAAACATACAGCTTGAAACTTGACTGTTTCTATACCACAATCATACTTTACTCGAAACCTTTTCTTACATCTACACAAGAGGCTAAACTAAATGTGAAGCACAAGTAGCAAAAAGAGCTTTGTAGTGTCAAACTGGCAAAATCTGGATCTAAAGAAATTCTCAAATCAAAAAAACTGGTTTAAAAAAAAGAATATGGATGTATCAAAGAGTACTGAGGTTCAGTATCCAGCCCTATAATATGCAGTGCAGACTTCTTAAATTAATCTGTACTCAAATTACATTATCACACATTATGACTACAATAAGTATAATGCAACTGACAATGGAGTGCAGACTTTATGTTCACTGTGAGGGTTAGCACAGCTCATGCAGGTTTAAATAGCGTACTGAATCAGTTTCATACCGGAGGGCATTGAATGAAACCTATTGACTGTGTGAAACACGCAGTGGGAAAAACACAAAACTGTATGACATGAATTTGAAAATGTGAAGTACACATGATTTGTAATTAACTTCAAAACATTGCTATGGTTCTTTTAAGTTTAATTTGGCCCAGACACACCCTCACTTGGACCTGCTGTGTAGCTGATGGTCACATGACACTCCTGTGGATCCATCTGTGGTAGCTGCTGCCTTCAACGACTGTGGGAAATCTCCACTGATCGTCTTAAATGACACCAGCGAGAACTTTACTGACGGCCATTACTGGGACATAAGAGACACCCGACTTGACTTCTGAAGTGTACATGCGGCCTCTCACCGCAGTGTTTTCCGTCCGTTTACTCCTGTGAGCAGTTTGTGTTGGTCACGCTGTTGCAGCTCTGTGGTAGAATCTCCATCTTGTTCCCCCTTTACTTTTCCCCTCGTCTGTAAATCTACATCGCAGCACATGTGCTTCTTGTAAAGTTATTGTCAATGATTTGGGCAGATTAAAAAAAAAACAAAAAAAAAACAAAGTGATGTCATACTTGTACAAATGAAAGCTCAATAAATAGAAGACTTGAACAAATGTAAACACTGTATATGAATCATTTCCACCCTGAGGAACAGTATTTTTACTGCCTCAACCTAATGGAGCTATTTAAAATCTGCCTTGTTGTCCGTTTTGTCAAAAAGGAGACTCGTGGGAGTGATAAGAAACACATTTATTGGAATAAAGAACAAACGATAAATCAATAGAATATATTACAAACAGCCCAGAGTGAAGTGTAAACCGGTTAAGTGCCGAGTCAGATGTGGAGCGGTGGTCAAAATGAGAGTTCAGTGACTTTCCCTGCCATTAGTGCTCCTTCCTCCGGGGCTCTGTGGCTTTACTGAGGTTTCCTGCCTCCTGCTTCAGGACGCTCAGAAGAGACTGAGAGCTCTCCAAGATCTATAGGTGGAAAGAAAAAGTCATATTAAATATACTGTAGGTACTTAAAGCAAAAGAAGTAAAAACACTACCTGGTACAGCTAACAGTTTGTTGTATGCTGTAGAAGCAATTTAAAAAAGGGGCCAGGCTCTGTTGTTTTTTAATAAGAGCAGCTTTGGAGTGTGTTTGCAGTGATTAGTGCGAGCGCTCAGGGAGTTCAGCATCAGTAAGTGGGATGTGCCTGTGTGACGTCAAACTGCACACAAGGACAACACGATGCTGCGTCACTGACTGCAAGTGCTACAGAGACAAAATAATGGTGGAAGCAGTTCATTAGCCACTTAATGATAACTCAGAAAAAATTTTCCAAACATTGTGTGAGCATTCCTGCAGAAGCCCAGTGTGTGTGTGTGTGTGTGTGTGTGTGAGAGCGGTTTCTATATGTATTTGAGGTTAAATAGAAGCACACAGACATATTTCCTGAAAATTCATAAAAACCCATTGATAAAAGTGGGATTGTCCATTTGATCTAAAAATGTCAACGTGGTAGTGATACTTGCCCAAAGTATGTCGCAACTAACTTTCAAGACTTCCGACTTTCATACTAAATATAGTCAAATGGATTAATCTGCAGATTGTTTTCTTGTGAAACAGCTCTTCAAAGTTTCTTAGAGTCCAAGGTCACGTGTTCAAATATCTTGCCTCACTAAAAGTAAAAAATCCAGACTTTGTTAATTTACAATAATATGAACCAGACAAAAGCAGAAGAAACTAAATAGTTGCCAATTATTTTTCTGCTGGCTGACTTACGGATCCACTGCAGCTCTACAACCCACCCAACAACCTTCCTCGGCTTCTTCTAACATGACCAGCTAACAACAACCAGCTATTACTCCGTTAGTAAGCTACTGAGCTTGAGGCCACCACTAGCTGTATGCGGCCATCAAATACCAGCTGCTGCAGAGGGTTATGTTGAGTGACATTGGTTTTGAAGGTCAGAACAGCAGAACACTGTTTTAATATCAATTCTTATCAAAGCAGTTCTAAGTTGGCTTGTTTTTGCGACCCTTGCACAATTAGGATCCTTTTATTAGATGAAACTGGAAAAATATTGAACCTCCATCATTTTAAGAGGAAAAGAAAAACAACTATTGTCTTAGTCAGCAAAACATCTTTTCTTAAAGAAAAAGAGGAATGAAAGGGCTTCTGTCTGTCTGTCTGTCTGTCTGTCTGTCTTGGATCAAGCCCTTGAATTCGGAAATTTTAATCATTTAATAATAAATTCATTCTAAAAAAACATCTTGGCATAGTCAGTGGACTGAAATGGTCCAGAAAGTGCCCTATAATTCACATATTTCCATGTTGCTGATCAACAACAATATTTTAGACAGTCAAGTCACACACCTTGGTGTATGCAGCCTCTGTCTCTGCGATGGTGCGGTCGAACGTGGCGCGGGCGGTGAGTCTTTGTGCCAGGCTCTCGTTGACTCTGCTCAGCTTCTCTGACAGGAGTCGGATGTCGTGCTGCAGCCGATCCTTCTCCTCTTCCTCCTGCTTGATCTGTCGGTTCAACTCCTCCCGCTTGGAGTGCAGGTCCTCAATACCTGAGAGGAGACGGAGACACGCTTTATTACTCCGGAGCCTCACTGGGTTTTACCTTCAACAAAACTGGACATTGCAGCATTTATGCACATTTCTAAATCACATGAAGACAGTTATTTTATCAGTGACAATCAGAAATGATTAGTCAGAAAAACTGTAATAATATATAATATAAGAAGTCTATAACATAAAGTTAAATAACAACAATCTGGTAATTTGGTATACTGTTTGAAGTTACTTAGTACCATTAGTAACTGAATATCTTTGAAGTTTTGAACTGAAAACATTGAAGCATTTTCAAAGTCAAGACAATAATCAAAACATTAATTAAGAAAATAATTGTTTGTCACAGCTCTAGCACAATGTAAAATAGTAGTATCCATTAGTATTTGAATCTCAGGTAATTATTAAACAGACAGAAAACTGTGAAACATTTTTTTAAAAATCCTGAAGACAAATTCACATGTCAGTTAACCATTCATGAATTAATATTAGTAATGAAGTCAAACAGCAGTGTTGTATATTGTGTTTTTGTGTGTCTGCTTAACTTATTTGACCAAAATTAGCTGAATATCAGCTCCATGTTTGTCAGATCTTCCATCATAAAGTAGAATATCAGCCTACTCCAGCTGCTGGCCTCAGCTGCACTAATGTGGGCTACAGAGGGTTACAGGTTGATTTCCAGGTGACAGAATAATCTGTGTGGGTTAATCAGATTGTAACGTTAATATCCTGTCTGCTGGAAGGTCAAGAACTAGATCAGGACAGGAAGAGCAGAGAAAAGCCGCCACACAGACTCTGTAGTGACACAAACCCGAGTCCCACAGGAGGGGACATGTATTCAGGTTAGCGTTCAAACACGACACTGAAGTATCTCTGTGGTCCTGCAGTCAAACACCACACTATTCACAATCACTACCAACTTAATACAAACAAATGAGTTATCGACAAGTACAACAAGTCACTTACATTTGACAAGTTCATTGTTGTAGGTCTGCAGAGCAGCAGCTTGTTGGGTCATATTGGACTTCAACAACCGTCCTAACTGACGTTAACGTCCTCACAGCTCCCTGTTTCCAACGGTAGCTTCTCATCCGCGTCGCTAAGCTAAGCGCTCCGGGAGTCACACACGTATTCAGAGATACGAGCGCCAGTGTTTTTACAACAAGTGCTCGGACATGGCGGGTTTCCCGGGACAACTGAAGCTCCGACACTACCGGTTATCTTACCGACCTACCGGCTGTTCAGGCTGCTTCTTCGTCTCTACGTTTAGGCGCTTCCTGCGCTGGCGCCCCCTTCCGACCGCGTCCTCTAACGTCCAGTCAGGTCTCCAGTTATTTATATAGCAGACTTAATTACAAGTACATTTAAAGGGCTATAGCTTACATTAAAATATATTACACACACACTCAAAGACAAACCCACAATAGGCCTCAAACACAGACAACTGTGAGTGACTTATCATAGAAAATAGGTAAGCTTTTGCTTTAAAGTGGACATAGTTGTGACAGATCTCAGGGAACACGACCAAAGCCCCAAAGCAGCCTCTTACCAGCTCTTAAGTTACAGCTAGAAACACTACCTGATCACCTGTAAGGTCTGAACTGGTCAGTAAGCGGTGATAGAAAGGAAATGCACTGGGCAGGGGTGGAAGAAGTATTCACATCTTTAACTTGTGTAAAAGTAGTTAAAAAAACACTTTACTTAAAGTTCCCCTCCACTCATAAATCGTTTTTTCTTTTTGATCCTACAGTGGGATATTTCATCTTCACTGAGCAGAAGGATGTATGTGCAGAGTTTGACACTAGTTTCTCTTTCTACATTTTCTCTGTGCTTATTGAAAATCTAATTTTAGGTAGCAGGGCCTACAGGCTACGAGGATGATTTGTGACATCACATATAGCTTTGTAATCAGTCCTGGTCCGTATCAACTTGTACAATTGTGATGTAGAAACTTTAAGCCACCAGTCCACATCCAGCTGAGAATGGACTTTACAGTGAAGTCGGAGACATCTTGTGTCCTCAGAAATGAACATTGGCTTTTTAGGGATGTAATTCTTTTTACTTTCTTTGCAGAAAAAACACATCAAACAAACATAATTGTTCCAAGACGCCTATTTACGTATTAATGCATGTCTAGAGGGGATCTTTAACTCAAATGAGGCCTACAGTAGAATTACAGGCAACATATACGTATACTACTTACAGTAGTCTAACCTGGTTGAGATAAATGTATGAACCTGTCCTAGTTATTTTACTAATCTACTCTACTGTGTACTGCTATGTTCTTAAATTAGTCTCTCTCAGAGAACCTACTATATTTTACCCATTCAAATGTTAACAGTAGCTGCTTTGTAAGTTTTTTCCCCTCCAGTTTTTATGATATTTTGTCTTTCTCCTACAGTTACTCCAAGAATAAACTATAATCATTTACATATTGGATATATACAAAAGTTCCTCAGAGATGGTCCTCAGTCAATGTTATTCTTTCCCCTTTTCAATTTGTCCATGTGAATTCATATTTCATGAAACGCTTTCAGTGTATTAAGATATACTGGTGGCTACTGTGTGTTTAAACTGTCATGTTTTCCATAGATGGATTATGCTGAAATAATTGGAAATATGTAATGACATTTTTTTTAAGGGGGTTAGTTTTATTCCAGTCATGAAAAACTAAACAAAGAGAGCAAATTAAACAGTCATCAAGCATAAACACAGGTGAGAGGAGGAGTCCAAACATTTGGAGAAAATAACTAAGCAAAGGAGGACACCTGGTGGTGTAACACAAACAGAACAATGAGACCCAACTAAAATAATCAGTACTTATAGAAGATTAAACCAGGTTTACCTCAGTAGGTCAGGAAATTTTGTTTTATAAAGCAGATTTAAATGACAGACTTAAGTTACCGTGGAAACGTATCCTCTCCCGACTACCTTGGTTCATATCAGGCTAGTTGTTAGCTGCACCTTAACCAGTCTTATATGTGGAGGTAATTAAAATGTAGAGCTCAGACCTTTATCACTGTACGTAACATTATGGGGGAAATAGTGTCCATGTTATATAATAACTGTACTCAACTGGAATGAATACAATATTGTTATTATTAACTTTTTGAACAATTTATAATTTGTTTTAAATAAATAATCTTTGTTTACATTAATCTTGCTGTTGCTGGGTAAATGACCCACAATTTAATTTTAGAATTGCGGATGTATAACTTGATCCGTAATTATTTTAATAAAACACAAGTCAAAGAAAGGTGTGAGAAACCTAATAAGCATCTACATAAAGAGGAACCACAGCAGATCGATGTCTGACTTGTCATAGTAGTAAAAGCACAGTTGTTACTAATAATATTATATACAATGGCGCTACATGGAATTTAGCCATCGTTCATTTTATTGATTGCACCTGTGCTTTTCCTACTGTGACCTGTCAAATGTGGCCTTGCTATATATGAAAATACATATATGTACTGCATTTATTCTCATGCGCACATACAAACCAAATTAATGTACTAAGCATGTTTCCATATAGACGTCCATCTACCTCTAGCTGTAAACATCCATTAGGTTTCTGTAGCACAGACATTTAGCCCATCTTGTTTAAAACTATATATAATATAACTGAAAGGTCCAGAACGGCTATTAAATGGACCTTGTGGTGAGATTGTTTTACCAACTGCTGTTTCAAAGGTTAAGGATGGACTTTAAATCTGAACATTCATCTACCTAAGAAATAAATCAATTCTGGACCCATAGAGATTTTAATAATACAATCTATTGATTTCAACTTTTCACATTACCAAACTGTGGCGATATTTGCACATTCCTGCTACACTTTATGATGCAGGTTAATCATCTTTAGTTGATTTATATGGATAATAAAATTCTACACCAGAACAAGTGTAAGTATAATCTTGAAGTTACAGAGTGTATAAAATATTATATTCAATGCTATTGGATTATTATTACTGATGCATTAACATGTGAGCTGTGTTTCAATGGCACCTGGTTGAGGTGGTAACTGATTGAAGTAATCTGTACATTGTTGGGAGGTTGATTTAAAAAACTGCATCATATTCTTTAAGCTCATGATGTCTCCTTGTGTCAGTTTTCATAATACTAAAACTGGCTTAATGGCAGTCGGGTAAATGTAGTGAAAGTACAACATGTAGCCTAACTCTGAAAGGAAATAAAGTACAAAGTAAAATTCAAAATAAAAAAAATGAAAAAATGACTTTCTACCAGTGATGGCATCATTGAACACTATTAACATGGTACTGGCTGTGGCTACACACAACAACTAACCAATGTATCTCATAGTGTAACTCCTGAACAACCATTGGGGCAATTATAAAGCTTCTGCATTTTTCATTCTCAGACACTCCATCCACATATAATAACTTTGTTGTTGTTATACCTGTATTTCCTTTCCTCTGTGTTGTTGTGGTGTTCTTATCAGATCTCGTTGGTGGTTGGACGAGGGCCTTGTAGTGTTTGTGCTGCTTCCTGGATTTGTATTTTACCCCCTGGTGTCATCTTCATGTGTGAACCAGTGGCTATGTGCTTTTTCCCTGGAAGAGGCTTGGGTTCTTCCCTCCACGTAGAGGTTAACCACAACGGGAGACACTGGTGACCCCGTGGTCAGTTTGGGTTGGCTGATTTTGTGTTTTGAAACTTGTGGTGGGGCAACAGTTGTGTTTCCATTGGGATAATGGATTGTATTTTTAAATCTTTAAAAGATGATTCTGGTCCCTTTATTTGTCAGTATGTCTGAACGCTGTAGTCAGGCTACTTATTGTGTTGTCTTCTGTACTTTAATTGCTGTTATCACACAGTCCAACTCTCTGTTCAATATCTTAGGGTAATTATTAGTATTTTATTTGTAATATTAATATAACTGAAAATATTATTGATATTACACTCAGGTGTGGTATTAGGCCGTCTGCAAATCAATAAATGTGACGTAATCGCGGGTGGGCGGAGTTTACGTGCAGGCACCATGGCTTCGGTTGGACCCGAGGTGAGTTGTGAGCCTTGTCTACGCCGAGCTTGTCTTACTTTCACACTGTTTTCCGGGTCGTGGAAAAAGTGTTCCGTCGCGGCGGCCACAAGCTCCCTGGTAAACGGGGGAATGGTCGGTGTCGAGGTGTGTTTTTGTCGTAAATTGCCCGCTGCCAGCCCAGAGTCTCTTGCTTTTGTGCTGGACCGGGAGGGCAATTGAATGTGCAGGAAGATGCTGCGCCCCGGAACCTGAATGATGTGTCCGGGCGCGTTGTGGGCTCCGCACCGCGTTGACTCATACATGGTCCGGGCTCACGTCACTGTCCTGCTTCTGTCCAGCTTTAGCGGTTCAAAATCAACAGCGGACACATATGCATGCGTTTTTATCCGATATTCCTGCTGGTTGTAGCTGTATTGTCTGTCACCGGCTTACTGCTGGCTGATCTGAACACTGCTGTTTAGCTAGCTGCTAGCAGCCGTGCTAGTTAGCGGGCTGTGCACACTTTGTGAAATCCACACAAATAAAAACTGACTGTTGAGGTTAACATCTTGTCGAAATGAAAGAGGCTCGTCTGTGTGTAATTTGGAACAACACGACTGAATGTTGTGCTGTTAATAATGTTCCTCTACGCTGTGAAGTCTGTTAGCTACATGGTGACTGATGCAGTGAAATGAAGGCTGGCAGTGCTTCTTACAACCTCCCACTGTAAACATATGGCGCCAGCTCTCAAACCGACTTTGATGCTCTTTACATGGTTATTTTTTTTCACCCAACTTTTGTTAGGAATTATTCTGCTGGTGCAGGCTGGTCTTCGTTAGCTCTGTGCAGTTATTGTCATGGCTTTCAGTCGGTATAAACCAGTCCGGGGCTGGCAGTAACAAGTTGTATTGTTGTTTTATTAAGGTCTCCTCAGTAAAGATGGACTGATTGAACCGATCGCTTGGCTACAGTGGCACAGAAAGTGTACCAATGTGTCAGACATTCAGTCTTTGTTTCTTTTTCTTTTTTCTTTTTGTTCTTGGTCCAGTGTTGTTCGGCAGAGGTCGCTCTAACAGCGGTCAGAAGCTGTCTGCTCGGCGGTGTGAGAAGTGGAGCTAAAGAAAGGTTTTGGGACATTGAGCTCTGCAGTCACTTCCGTTTGCACCCACAACTTTGTCTTTAAGTCGATTCCCTTGACTCAATGGGTGACCTTAAGTTCATCTTTTAATTAGCTCATTTCCCTGTTTATCTCTGGCGGTGTGTATATGTAATGTCCTCACCAATACAGTGGAGATGAATGGATTTGCATTGTGCTCAAAAGCATTGACAAATGACAGGGACATGTCTTTCTAAAGAACATGTCCCTGAAATCAACAGACCTCGCCACCATCAGTGTTCACTCAAATCACTTTC